ATGGAATTTATAAGCGCCTTTCACAGGACCCAAGGTCGCTGTACATGGTGGACAGACAAACAAAACGGACAGTGAGGAGCGAACAAAACAAAATAAAATAAAGTAAAGGAAGCCAGGGGACCAGGAAAGGACTAGGGTCCGAAGGCCAGGGTGAACAGGTGCGTTTTCAGTGAGGATTTGAAGATGTCCAGTGAGGGCAGCGTTCCGGATCTCAGGAGGAAGTGCATTCCAGAGGGTGGGGGCCGCAACACTGAACACCCTGTCACCCACAGTACGAAGGCGAGAGCGGGGGATGGAGAGCAGGCCCGTGTCTGAGAACCGCAGACTCCGAGAAGGGGGTGTAGGGATGTAGGAGGTCTGTTAAGTACTGGGGGGCGAGGGTATGGAGGGACTTGTACGTGAGGAGGAGTGTTTTATAGTGAATCCGGGACTTGACCGGCAGCCAGTGGAGGTGGATGAGGGTGGGGGGTGATATGTTGCCATGGCTTAGTGCGGGTGAGAAGCCTGGCGGCAGAGTTCTGGACATATTGGAGCCTGTCCAAGGTTTTGCTGGGAACCCCGGACAGGACTCCATTGCAGTAGTCCAGACGGGATGTGATGAAGGCGTGTATGAGTGTTTCTGCCACAGAGTCAGAGAGTGAGGGGCGGAGTCTGGCAATGTTTTTGAGATGGTAGAAGGCGGATTTGGTAATGGATTTGATATGCGCCTGGAAAGAGAGGGTGGAGTCCAGGATGACTCCCAGGTTGCGGACTTCAGTGGAACGGGGAGATGGAGCAGCCGTCAATGGTGAGAAGCAGGTCACCAACCTTCTGGAGCTGCGCCTTGGGAGCCACAGTGATGAGCTCAGTTTTGTTGCTGTTTATTTTTAGCAGGTTTGATGACATCCAGTTTTTGATGTCCTGGAGGCAGTTGACCAAGGGAAAGAGGTGGGAGCTGTGTGGACGGTTTGGTGCAGAAATAGAGCTGTGTGTCATCGGCATACGAGTGGAAGCTGAGACCATGTGGCGGATGATTTGACCAAGTGGGAGCATGTAGATGGTGAATAGGAGGGGTCCAAGCACAGAGCCTTGAGGTACACCTTAATCATATACACAACTACGGTGTAGTTATGCAATGAATGAAAAACTTGGGTCACAGGTTCCTCACAGTGCATTACAAGATATCTATCGATATCTGTGTACCTCCACCATTAAACATATTCTGCACCTTTCTTATACTATCTACATACGTCTTATAAGAGTATAATTAATATGTATAATATCAGTTAAAATAAGTGCTTCAACATAGTTAACATTGCAGGAAAGTTGATTGTCAAGTTCCAAAACAAACCATGCAATATATTAGACGTTAAGTACTTTGTCAGGCTTAATATCTGTAGATACCCCAAAGCTTTTTTCTTATTTAAAAGAAGACCTTAACCTAAAGTATTCTTAATGTTTAAATAAAGCCTTATTAGTTGTCTGTTTTGCACATCCTCCTATCAGGCACTAAACTGTTTTTATTGTAGAGATCACTTACAGTATCTTCTTGATATTTTCTATTCTATATTATTTATATCATTGACCTTCCACTTTCCCACTATATTAAGAGTATGTACTCTTAATATTTAAATGTTTTCATCAAATATAACATATTCAAAAGTGCTTTACAAAATGAAAGACATTAAGCAACACATCTACCTGCATTGCAATTACTCTAAACGTGTAATAATGTGCTTTAACCAGTAGGAGGTGCGGGTTAAAAAGCTGTCAATATACCTGCTGTTCTGGTTTAGTTTACGACGGATATATTCTGTTATTGTTTTGATATTTGTAACACAAAAGCGATGTTAAAAACCCACAGCAACACAGAAAAGATGGTCTTAACATGACCCAGCGGTCTAGTAGTTAATAAAAACAATAATATCAAACAAATTATTACTACTAACTTTATTGTGAAATTAAAACAGAACGGTAAAAGAATAGTTTCCGGTCTATTCTGAGGCCCGATCTCTGTAGATAAATAAAGAACTACGACAGATGTGTAATGTTTAATGCAGCCAAACCATTCATTACAATGCATTCATGTGATGACTTTCAAAGAGTAAAGCAAGCACTGCTGAATAAAGTATGATTTGATCTTTTACGAAACGTTTTTTTTCATATGGAATGCAGTTGGAGGTCAACCAATCACAGAGCTTGAGGCAAAGCGGAACAATAGCTGAGGATTCTGGGTAGTGTAGTGTCTTCGGCCATCCTAAACTCTGAACAAATATTTGTTTCTCCGAATCGAAGGGGAAAATTACAAAAGGCATTGTACACAATTTAAACCAATCAATGTTGTGTAATTAACAAGGATAATCTGGTGTTTTTGAGTTGATGAGTAGTGCAGATATCACTGTAAAATCAATCGACAGTAAGGAGAATACTTACTTCCGGTGTAAAATCCTCCGTTATCCAATGGGAATGGACGCTCACATCGCTCTTTGGGTCCGTAATACAATAAAGGGGACATGATCAAATAGGAATATAATTATCTTTTAAATAACGTTAACTAAAGGGAACAATCTATTTGACACAGCTGAAGCTCTGGCCCTCCTTAAAAACTAACTAATTTAATAAAAATCACAGTTGTATTACACACAATGCACTGTTTTTTGAGAACAAAAATTGGTAAATAATGCACCATAATACATTCTGACGAAAAATAAAAATGATTATGAATACAAATCAAATAAAGAAGCTCCCGTGAGTTACTACAAGCTATAAAGTAGATTTTAAAAACGTTTTATAGAATAAAAGCTCACTGCTGGCGTGTGTGCACCACCAAAGGAGCCTCATTCACTTTACATTGGGGTTGTTTGCGTGGTGCAGACACGTAAATGTAGCAAAGTTCGTGACTCCACCACGCACTGCGGTGTTAAGGAGTCGTGGTGGAGTCACGCATTCTGGTGAGACCAGGTTGAATTCAGCATATGCTTCTGCATTCTTTGTTGCGTCTTCTTCAAGTGCTTCTTCATCGTTGTAGTCTATCGCTGGCTCTTCCAGGATAACTTCACTGAGGCTGCGCAGTTCCACGTGCGCCAAAAACCTTGTCTCCCATAACTAAAAGTTGTTCTCGTCACCGTCGAATAACAACTTAAACCACCTTTGGCCTCCTTGACTGGCCCATAAACCTGTTGCGTGAGACATTATATTCAGCAGAAGTCTCCACGTTTGCAGTCAACCAAAGTAGTTTGTAAGCATCATCTTACTAGTTGTAACGGACAGAAAAAAAACATGACCACATCGCACTGAGTTTGGCCCGGAGAACTGACCGTTTATTGCATCTGCGCATGCTCATTAGCATCACCACGTTTCTTTTCGCACATTCTGATGATGTCATATACACATGAACTGAAACATGACTTTGTTCTTATACAAATATGCTTAACACAGCCAAACCGCTTACATTCATAACACAAATTGGGATAATACGTGTCTGTTAGTTGCCTTCCTAGCTTTATGGCAGCATGCAACCAAATGAATAGCCCCTTGTTATCCCCTCCTCCAAATGGAAAGTTCATTGTATATTATCAGGCAGGTTTATTATGCCTGTAGAGCCTTTTTAATTACTTTCATCATATTTTCCTCCAGTGATCTTATAATTTGGACATATCCCACATTGTTCTGAGATAATTGTGGAACATCTATTTCTGATATAATTTCTCCAGAATTCCAGCATCCTAAATGTTGAGAAGTGGGAATAAGCCCCATCCTGACCTGCATCATGACAGTAATATCTAGTGATGTTACGTATTGCGCCGAGGCTTCGGAGCGTGTGTCGAGTAATCCCCGAAGCTTTTTGTGAAGCTTGTATCGAGGGTTGTATCGTTTTGGGCCAGTGACGTCATCGATGACAAACGAAGCCTCGCTGCCTGTCGATACCACGTGACTGCTTCAGGAAGCGATTCAGATCGGTTGAACCACAACGCTCATATTAATTACCATGGAATGTATAATAAGAACGATATTACCCCTCCTGTACCCGGGCCCGGTGACACGATGGAATTAAGAGAGCTCAGACCCTCACTTATATATAGGTCGGAACATGTCATAAGTATAAATAAATAAAAGCATAAATAAAAGTAGGAATAAAAACATAAATAAATGAATAAATACAGGAATAAATAGGCTCCAGTGTTTTCAGGTAGATTCAGTGTGTGGGCTGTGGCTCAGCTGGAAAGCAGTTGACTCTCAACCGCAGGTTCCCTGGTTCAACGGACTGGTCAATAAGTCTTTTTGTTTGTTTATAAAAGCTACAGCTAAATGAGATAATGTAGTTAATAAATGTATTCTTTGATATGGTCTCAGGCTACAACATGTTAAGTTGGCAAATCCCTCTTTGCAATGTTTACCAGCCTCCTTAGGCTTTTCAATCACAATCATTAAACTGGAATAAATACAATATTGATAACATGAAAATATGAGTTTATGTTCGTTTGTTTAGAGGTATTCTAAGGCTTTACTCATTGGGAAATCGGTATGAGATAGAGCACAATGTTGATAGCTTCATAAGGCTTCAGCTCTCCATCACTTCGTAATATCGTCCTTATTTAAACAAATGCAGCACTACATGCAAGTTCAGCACGCCCTACTTACTAGTATGGATCATGGAAGAGTTAATGTCTGAAACGTTCCGTAACATTGCCTTTATTGAACGCGCTTCGCACAGAGCTGGATGTGATTGGTCCATCAGGCGCAGCATCCAGGCTACTTCCCGGATGTTTGACATCGGATTGAAAGGTTTCGGCTTCAAAATAAAGTGGCAAAATTACAATGGATAAGTAAAATGGGGAGGTGGAGTGAACGTTAACAATATGAGCGCTAATAACCGCTTGCTTACAATAACTCAGAAATAACCTGTGACTGCTATAACTTCAAGTAATTATTTATCTTGAAAAACAAAACCAAAAACCCTTTAAAAAGCTATCACACAGTAGTTTATTTTGAAAAACTAAACCGGAAGCCGTTTTGTTTATTCAACTAGCAGGCGATATGCTACCTTGTTTAGCTCTTGCTATGGTTTAAAACACTATGTATTTCAGGAGTTTGTCTCTATAAGAAGACCCTGTGATACAAAGACCTTCCCGGGAAGCGGTCCCGTTGTCTGTCGTCGTTAGAAAGCCCTCGTGCTTGATCGTTCCCTCCTGAAGGTGCTAACCTGCAGCAAGAGATGCTGACTGTATCTCTGTGCCCAGCTGCTCCACGACACGACTAATGTAAGCACTGTCAGTTTATCACAGCTTTCTAGAGTTTGATCCCAAAGTGACATTATATAGTTCTTTGTTATTATTGTTTTGACTGTCTGTGTTTCCTAGTTAACAATATGAGGGCCAATATTCAGCAAGGAGACAGGATGCTGCTCTCCAGTTATAGTTCCCCTGGTTCTGAGTGCTGACAAACACACTTTGTGTATAGTGTCATTTTAGTACACTACTGTACTAGGAATGGTGTGTGTGTGTGTGTGTGTGTGTGGTGTGTGTGTGTGTGTGTGTGGTGTGTGTGTGTGTGTGTGTGTGTGTGTGTGTGTATGTGTGTGTGTGTGTGTGTGTGTGTGTGTGTGTGTGTGTGTGTGTGTGTGTGTGTGTGTGTGTGGTGTGTGTGTGTGTGTGTGTGTGTGTGTGTGTGTGTGTGTGTGTGTGTGTGTGTTGTGTGTGTGTGTGTGTGTGGTGTGTGTGTGTGTGTGGACTGTGTGTGGACTGTGTGTGAACAGTCTGAATGCAACAAGCCTGAAAACCCTTCAGCTGCTTTGTTACTTTGTCTCTCTGTGCAGATGGTGTCTGCCTGAGGGAAGATAATGGACAACGGCAAACCGAGTCAAGTGTGTCGGCCCAAGCGGTTCGGTGAATCCTCCCAGGTGTGTGTGTTTGTCAGTAAGAGGGGACTGAGCCAGAGTCAGACTCTGAAACAAATAAACACAAACAAGAAGGAAGCAGCTTCTTTACAGTAGAGAAATACACCTGAAAGTGACTCCCAGGAAATATGTTTCCTTACTTTTGGATAAATATATATATATTATTTTCTATTATCAAAAGTGAGTATTTGTATAAAGTATACAATATAGCAGTGTTTAAATAAGACATCAACATTTAAGGACGTGAAACATTTCATATTTTTTATAATTTGTTTCTTGTAACAAACATGGTACGTTTACATTCAGTCTGTCTCACCAACACTCATTGTGTGGGTCCTTGATGCCCTAACAATACTGTTGATTGTGTTATACAATCAACACATAGAGTGCCACAGTGACGTGTCCTAAAACCCGGAAGTAAGTTAAGGATAATATCTACATACCCTACTTTTATAATTTTCGAATCATAAATCTAATCGATTAGATTATGATCGATAGATTTGATTCGAAAATTATAAAAGTAGGGTAGACATGTGGAGATTATCCGACTGAAACAAAACGTGATCTGTCTCTTCAATGTGTGTCGACCACAGACCTTATTTCGAACATTTTCCAAAATCCTATGGAGAAATTGCATTGTTTTTGACGAAGGAACCGGAAGAAGGCTTACTTCCGGGTTTTGAAGACGCGTCACTTGTGGCACTCTATTGCCACATATAGCCAATAATGATCGGCATCTTCTCAGGGTAACTTTAATGCCTTTTGTAGAATTGTTGTCTTATTTTTAGGGCTGTCAAGTTAACGCGTTAATACGCCGTTAACGCAAAAAAAAAATGAACGCCACTAATTATTTTAACGCGATTAACGCATGTGTATTTTTTGTCCTCCGGCCGCCCCGTAGTTTCAGAGCGCATCGAGTGTAAAATAGCATCTACAAGCTGATGCTGACAGCCCCGCTCCTGCCGCCCGCTTGTGGCAGACCACACTTCCACGCTCACCGGCAGGCCCGGACTGGCCATCGGGAGGACCGGGAGGGAGTGTGTATGTGTGGCGCGACTCGCGCGAGCGAGGCACACCTTACGTGTTGATGTTGTTGTTAGCATCTGGTGCTAGCTAGCTGGCGCTAACGGATATAAGGAGCTGTTTTCAATGACATTTCGCCGACAAACTGCGCCGAGCACTTGACTTTATGCAGGTAGCCAGACAGGTGGGACATTGTACGAAAAGTCAGCACACTCAGCACGGATAGTACGCGCAACATGATTGCAGCGTCCAGGCAGCTCCCATTCGAGCATATATGCCTTGAGCTGCACATAGCTCCAACGAGCCATCACAGTGTACACACACACACACACACACACACACACACACACACACACACACACACACACACACACACACGCACACGCAGTATTGTATGAGAGAGGTTCCAGGTTGAATTGAGGTGAATATTTGTAATGTTCAGGTTGTTGTGTTTAATATTCATGAGAATATTTGTCATTATTCAAATGATAATAAACAAACCTATAAAGCATAGTTGTCCACTCATATGTTGATAAGAGTATTAAAAACTTGAAAGATATCCCTCTAAGGTACATTTAGAACAGATAAAAAATGTGCGATTAATTTGCGATTAATCGCGATTAACTATGGACAATCATGCGATTAATCGCGATTTTAAATATTTTAATCGACTGACAGCCTTACTTATTTTAGAGTCTTTCAAAAATATTCTTTCTGATGGCAAATATTATTTCTTTAAATGTTATTTTTACATACAGCAAGGACGAACTGAAAAATTGTAATGAGTAACATTTGCGCACACTTTCTACACTGCTGAACTAAACCTTCGACCCACAATAAGTGTGTGTGTACTGTCTAAAAATCCCCCACTAAGACCTTGACCTGTGTGTTGCAGGTGTTCCACTGCGGGGACCAGGCGGGGGGGGGTGCTGCGGGGCCTCAGCCAGCAGCGGCAGCAGCACCAGCTGTGTGACGTGGTGCTGCTGGCCGACAGCAGGCGGCTCCCGGCCCACCGGGCCCTGCTGGCCCTCTCCAGCCCGTACTTCCACGCCATGTTCACCCTGGGCATGAGGGAGAAACGCCAGGAAGAGGTACATGTAGTGAGGCAAAGAACAGATTATACTACGGGAATTTAGGGAATTGTTGATGATTTGAACAGAAGCCTTTGTTTCCTTTTGTCTTCCTTCCACATTCTGTTTATTTTTTATTTTTCTAGAACTGCATTCCTCTCATTTTCATCTACGTTTACTTATAAAGATCTATAGACTAGGTTAATCATATTCTTTTAATGTCAAGATAACTCATTGTCGGTCAGGATCTATGCTGTCAATAATGGGTGTAGTATCTATAGTATCTACATCTGGGTTCTCTGAGGTACCTTTAACCCACAAACTTTAACAACACAGGTTTATTCAGTTTCTTGGTTTAATAATTCCACTAAGATAATGATTATAAGGAGATATGCAGTAGAAAACTCTGCAAACAGAGAAGTAGGAGCTCCACCCCTCACAAAACACACAAACACACAAAAACCACAACAAAGATCAGCTGTGTGTAAGTCTTTGGTCTGAGATCTGAGACAAATCAGTTTAAAATCAGTTTTTGTCAGTAGCTGTCTGCCTAAAATGACGTGGGATCTGAGAGGAATAACCTCAGAAGTCAAATAAAACTCTCCTTAGTCAGGTGTCCTTTAACTCTGTTCCTACAGCCTTGTGCTGTGGATGGCAGGTGGAAACAGCTCCAGGATGTCATAGACAGGATAATCATTCAAAAGATAACATTTCTAAGAAACTCCATTAATATCCAGAGGAATGGCATCAGATCTAGAAGCTTCCGTGTGCTCAGCCGCTTAGGAGGTACCGGAAACCTCTTTAAATTCTAGTGACATCATATATACAACTCCTAATGACCTGCATCTTCCTCTTCCTGTTCCAGGTGGAGCTGGTTGGGATGTCCTACATTGGTCTGAAGGCTGTAGTGGACTTCCTGTACAGCGGGGAGCTGCCTGCTGGACGGGGGGGAACATTGAGTCTGTGCTGGAGGCGGCCCACCTCCTGCAGGTAACCAACGGACACTTCCTGTGAAACACATCATGTACATTGCAGGAGAATTAGGGTGCATCACATTCAATTACAGTATGTATAAAAAACAGGTTTCTGCTCAGTTGTAGTCCAAACTACTGCAGTATTGTATTTAAAAGATCACTCACAATAGACTCAAGTGAAGCGTATAAAGTGTTGAATGCTAATAATCATTCCAGAGGGAGAATAGGTTAATCATATTCTTTTAATTGGCATTTATTCATGCAATAATCTTTTTAGTTGGGTTGAGTATTTAAAATCATTTATAATGATTAACAATTATAATACATCTATTTGACTGTGTACTATAAGTAAAATGCCAACTGTCTATACCTGTTACCTTGACAATATTCTTCAAGTGCTAATATGCCACTTATTTGTATTTCAATTGCACACCCTGTGTCACCTTGAGTTTTGGAGGAAAATGTTCCTGCCTGACTGCAGGCTGAACAAAGGTTCCACACACAGAGAAAAGTCTCCATGCATTCAATGTGAATGAGGGCAGGGTTAACAACAGCAACACTACTTTAACAATCTGTTTACCAAATGTCAATGCCACAATTCAAGGTCACACTAGGTTAGGGAATGATATATTGTATAATGTTTGTTATGGGCCTGATGTCTCCCCCCTCAATAGAAGGAGTTATAGTAATAGAGGAAGAAGTAGGACATTTGGAAGATGACCTGTTTATAACCATAGTGTGTTACAGAGTGTTATAAAGCTTATTCATTGTTTACACAGTGCTTATATCCTTGAAATAGAGTGAAACCCTGAAAAGTAAATAAATGAACAGCATAAGTCATGATGATGGAAATGAAACTCTGATCACTAAAGCTGCTGGTTGGTCCAGGTGTGGCGGGTGGTGGATCTGTGCTGCAGTACCTGGAGGGGGGGCTGAGTGAGGACAACTTCCTGTTCCTGCAGCAGCTGGCCCTGCTGTACAGCCTGGAGCGCCTGGACTCCTGCGTGGACCGCTTCGTCTTCACACACTTCGCCTCGCTGTCCTTCACCCCCGACTTCCTGCATCACCTTCCTCTACACAAACTCTCAGCGTACCTCTCCAGCGGACAGGTACATGCACTGCTCAGGGGGGAGGGAATACGGGTTGCAACATTTCTTTATCAACAGATTTTGTTGTATCCTTTTGCCCTTTTTTTATTATGGAAGAGGAGTCATTACAATATATTCCAACCTTTATTCACTCGGTAATAATAAAATGATTTCAATTAAAAAAAAATTGCCTAGTAGATTTTCACATACAAGGAATTTGCTTTAGTGTACTGGTGCATATCATCAACATAGTAAGATCAATTCAAAGTTAAAGCAAGTCAAATAAAGAAACATAAATGTATGATGGTAAAGTTATCATTACTAGTACTCAGATGTTAATGCAGCAGAATGTAGAAGTGTTTCACAAGTTGTATCATCCTTTTAACCATCATTAAGCCAAACACATAACTATAGTCAAACAATCCCTCAATCATTCATTACACACTTCTGCTACAAATACATTGTTATTCATAGCAAACGTAAGTCCTTAAGTTGTATTTTTATCTATCCTGGATTTTAGACATGTTAAATTACAAAATAAATTATATAACGTGTATGAAGAGTGTTTAGTTTTTTAAAGTGAAGAGGAAATGTGTTCAGCACTGAACCGGAGCCGTTGACACTTTTCCATCAGTTTTTTCACTTTCATCATTATTCCTTCCCATGATTCAAATCATTAAGATGACACTCACAACAGTGAGACAACACCCTCGCTGGTTTTATCAGTGTCTCCTCACCCCCCAGCCTCCCATCCTCACTCCTTTAAACAGCCACAGCTTTTTGCTAAAAGTGTAACACTGATGGTCAAAATGTCCCTGTATCCATTTACCTTGCCAAGCAATTATTAGGCAAGTCGTATTTTTGAGGATTATTTTAATTATTGAACAACTAGTGCTCTGCGTCAATCCAAAATGTTAATAAACTTCAAACCTGAAAATATAAGAAAGTGAGGTTTGGCTTACTTAGGAGAATATCTATTTACATGAGTGAAGTGACTTACATACTCTATACTGTGGGCAATCCCCACAGGAGCACTTTGGGGTGAAGTGTCTCAGGGACACAACGACATGCTGACTGCAGTGGGGTTTGAACCTGTGCCCCCCTGATCCCAACACCAACGCACACCCCACTGCACCACACGCCTCCCATCATCATCCATATTATGATTTGTCTGAGTCTGACTATCTGCGCTACTCTTGGTGATACATTTGACCAGCCTATGTTTCAGGACTTTCCCTGTCTCAGGATAAAAGACTTGGTATGCTGGGCTATGTTTGTCGTGTCCTACAAAAATACCCTTTGCACATCTAGAATCTAGCTTCTTCTTATTTGGGGTGAAGTGTCTCAGGGACACAACGACATGCTGACGGCAGTGGGGTTTGAACCTGTGCTCCCCTGATCCCAACACCAACGCACTAGTCCACTGCGCCACACGCCTCATCTATGTGTGCACAATTATTGGGCAACTATTAGTGTGCACAATTATTATGCAACTAAAGGAACAACGAAAATGATCCCATCTCACATGTTTATTTTCACTTGTTAAAGTGAGAATAGTAAACAAACAACTCTATATATATAGCCACCCTTCTCTTCAATAACAGTCATGAGCCTTCCATTGATGGAGTCTGTCAGTTTCTGGATCTGTTGACGATCACCCACAGCCTCCCAGACTCTGATCAGAGAGCTGTACTGTGTTCCTTTAACGTAAATCTCCCTTTTAAGAAGGGCCCACAAGTTCTCTATAGAGTTTAGGTCAGATGAGGAAGGGGGCCGTGTCATTATTCTTTCCTCTTTAAGGCCTTTACTGGTTAACCACACAGTGGAGTACTTGGATGCATGCGATTGAGCATTAACCTTCATAACATCATGGTCTTCCTGAAAGATGCAGACTGTTTCCTGTTCCACTGATGGAAGAAAGTGTCTTCTAAAAACTGGCAGTAGGTTTGGGAGTTGATTTCCATCTTCAACCTGAAAAGGTCCAACTAGCTCCTCCATACCAGAACCCACCTCCACCTTGCTGGCGTCTGAGTGGAAGTGGAGCTCTGTGCACGGTAGTGATCCAGCCACGGGCCCATCCATCTGCTCCGTCCAGAGTCACCCTCATCTCATCAGTCCAGAAAACCTTTGAAAATCTGTCTTCAGATGTTTCTTGGCCTAGTCTTGATCTCATGTGTCTTGTTCAGTGGTGGTTTCAGCCTCCCTCCACCTTGGCCATGTCTCTGAACACCTGAGACTTCTGGGCCCTCCAGGTAGGTCACAGTTCTGGAGTATGACCGCACTGGAGGATAATGGCTTCCTGGTAGCTTCACGTTCGATTCTTCTCAGATCTGTGGCACTTAATTTGCTTCTTTTTTCCTCAGTATGTTTCTTGCGACCCTGTTGACTATTAAAAAATTTACTTTTCAAAAGTCAGTTAAATCCATTTTTTGGCCCATTTTGCCTGAGGAAAAGAAGCTGCCTAATAATTCTGCACACCTTCATGTAGGGTGTTGATCTCCTAAGGCCACACCCTCCCTCATTACACAAATACACACCATCTGATATCCTTAAATCCAATGCACATTCAAGTTCATACAGCTAAGTGTTGGAAAATATGCATGGAAATTATGATATGATCAAAATGCTCTCTTTCATAATAATTGTGCACACAGTGTATGCCATGTCTATCTAAACTGCCGGCTCACCTCACACCTCACTACCATCTTTAATGCCAGCCAGGGAAGAAGAGAGAACATGTAGTAAACTCTTTGGATAAGGAGGCATAGGTTGTCAGTTGCCTACCTTTATTTTTTTGGTTTGTGTTGTACTGTACGTAGACATGATAAGCAGGTTGAGATGGGATCCTGATCTTGTTTGTAGAAAATTCACTTCCTGTTCACCTCCACCCTCAGGTGCAGCATGACAGCGAGCAGGCGCTCCTGCAGGCCTCCCTGCGGTGGCTCAGCACCACTCCTGAGCGCACCCCCCACGCCAGGCAGCTCCTCTCCCACATCCGCTTCCCCCTGATGGCGGGGGGGGGAGCTGGTGGAGCGGGTGGTGCCGGCGCTGAGGGCCCTGCTGACGGAGGAGAGCTGCCAGGCTCTGCTGCAGGAGGCTCTGGGATACCACGCTACGCCCAGCGCTCAACCACTGCTGCAGACAGGAAGCACCCTGCTGAGGGGGGGCGCGGAGCAGCTGCTGCTGATTGGAGGAGAGGTACAGATGGGTGGTGCCCAATCAGTTGATCACAACTTTGTTTTCAACGATGCATATGAAGCCATTTGCAGTGTTTTACAGTTTTTTTTATCCATTATTCGTCCTCAAAGTGTACTAATTATCACTTTGATTGATATAGTGCCTATCAGGACGCTTTACAATAGGGAGGGGGGACGTAGGGGGGACCAAAAGGAGAACAGTAATACAAACATAGATGACAAAAAAGGAAGATAAATAAACATAAGGCTGGGTGCAAACATTTCAATTTGACCACCTGTAGTTTTTATTGTTATACTTCATGACTTACATATCTAATAATCATATAAAGGAGTGCCTTGGAAGTACTAGTTTTCATAAACATGTGACAAAACCTCCCCCAGAGCTTTGATTACAGAGAGAGGACCAAAACAAACATGCGTTTCAACAATATCATCATATTTTCGAGGACTAATGCACGATCGGAATCACAGATCAACAGATCATGGCTATTTTTGTATTATTCTTATTTTGTACGTTTATAAAATGTTTGTTCTCAACTCTAAAGAATCCTGAGTCAGATTTAATAATAATAATAATAATAATAAATGTATATAGCGCCTTTCATAATCCCAAGGACGACAAAGCAGTTGGTAAAATAAAAACATCTGACTTGATTTGGGCTTGACTGACTAAAGACTTAAATCCCTGAGTTGATTTGGAAAAATATTCAAAATAAATGTAAGTCTTAAGTTTTGTCCTGGAATTATTTTTGAACAATAAAGAAAATAAGATTTCAAGCAGCAGGCTGTGCTCAGCTACACCTATTTTCTCTTTAATAACTCCACCTGTACCCCGTCCCGTCCCTGCTGCAGGTGTCGGAGCGGGGGGAGGAGCTGAGCGCCAACGTGTGCCGGCTGGACGCTGAAACAGGAAGCTGGTCGGTGGAGACGGAGCTGCCGGCCCAGCGGAGCCACCACTGCCTGGCCGTGCTGGGGGGCTTCATCTTCACTGCTGGGGGCAGCTCGTCCAGGGACAGCGGGGGGGATGCTGCCTGTAACCTGCTCCACAGATACGACCCCCGCCACAACCAGTGGTCCCGGGTACTGTTCAAGGAGCCCCCCCATTCTCTGTCAAATACTGTTTAGTTTCAAACACAAAATAATTTGGATTTTTTAACACTAGCACAAAAACATTTCAGTTTAATGTGAGAAGGGTAAAAGACGCCCCCCCCCCCCCACCCTTTGTTTCTCACTTCCTGTTTGCTGGTGCTCAGACTCCGTGACGCTGTGATGCTTTTCCAGGGAGCTCCAATGAATGAGCGGCGGGTGGACTTCTACCTGGGGGCGGTGGGAGAGAGCCTGATCGCTGTGGGGGGGAGGAATGACTCTGGAGCCCTGTCCTCTGTGGAGGTGTACTGTCCCGCCCAGGACTCCTGGTCCTATGTGGCTCCACTGCCCAGGTAGGCTCACATGGTGTGTGTCTGTGTCTGTGTTTTCTAGAATTCTGTGGCAGTTGGGAATATTTAGGAAATAATTAATCCATGTATGGTATTTCTTTTTAACAAAATACCGTTCTTAAAAATATAATTTATAGAGGGAATTGTGACTTTTTAATAACACAGCTCTCAGCAGCTTTTCACAAAATACAATCATTTGTTTCCCAAACCCTTCAATTGTGAGTTCTGTTGTGGAGATACGCTATAAATGACAATTACAAAGTGGAAAGTAATTTTTTGACAATTTACAAGTCTGGAGCCTTGGATGAGAGAACCAATTTGGAAATGTTGCCCCCCATCCATAATTCCTAAGAACTGGCCTACCTGTGTTACCTAATATTCTTGAAGGAGAGTTTTGATCAAATGCTCCACATTGTAATTTGGGGCTATACATTTAACATCACAACAACACAATTCATCCACTCGTATCATCACTTCTTTCCAATCACATTCACTCCTGTTAATAACTTAAAGTGGACCTATCATGCTATATTTGAATAATATAGTGTAGGACCATACCTATATAAGGCATATTTATACTTTTTTTTTCTTCAAAATACCAAACAGATCATGCATTTTAGCCATGCCTCATTTTGCTCAATTTGACAATTTCTAGCTCTGTTTTTGCAAGGGCTGATTCTGTGAGAACAGCACCACCTACAGGCCTGGCATATGTACTACAGCGTCTCCAGCGCTTTCGAACGGCAATGGCCGTGGCTGTCTCCTCCTGATTGGTGGAGTTGGCCCAATAGCCGTAGCGCCACTGTCCTGACGTCAGGACAGTGTTCATATCTGGATCAGTTTTTATCAGATCCGTTGCAGCCCCTTTTTTAGAGATTTGGGTATGGAGGAAAATAGAGAGGGTTGTGTTTTCTGCCACTTGGTGAGTTCCCTGGAACACCGGGGACACATATTCATGTATAAAAGACGTACAAAAGTGCATTTTGCATGATAGGTCCCCTTTAATGTTTAAAGCACTTCCCTAAAAGTGTTCTAACTTGCTACCTGGATATGCCAGTACTGTTTATGAGACAGTGTATTAATAAGTAGTGTTTTACTGAAGATTCATGTGTTAGTAAAGCATACGATAAAAGAGACTTTGTCTTTGACTGCAGGAGTTGTGTGAGCGATCATGAACGGATGTTTTGATCAAGTTTGCTGTTGTTAAACGTTAACCACATGAACTTTAATTTATAAAGACTTTTATAAATGTTTGTATTCTTTTTGCACTGTGGAGGCATGTGAGATGTTTCAAGAAATTAATGTATCACCGGGTACGTTACGAACATACAAATGATTTATTTTTGGGTGAAGCGTCCCACAAGTGCTGCTTTGACAGGATAGTTCCAAACCCCCAAGATGGACTTCCTGTCAGGCTTAGCTTAGTGTGGCTGTAAACATTAAGTCTTTGCCATTATATTTCTTGAGTGCATATTTATTGTTTGTCAGTTTTTTAACCATAAATCCAGTAGATTTTTGCTATTCATTTTTGTAACGGTGCTACATTTGGCTTTTTGAATTGTGCCTGGTCTAGGCTCACCTATGGCCACGCCGGGACGGTCCACAGAGGAGTGGTCTACATCTCAGGAGGTCACGACTTTCAGATCGGCCCGTACCGCAGACAGGTCCTGAGCTATGAGCCGTCCCGGGACAGCGAGGTGTGGACGGAGCGGCCGGCCATGACTCTGGCGCGGGGCTGGCACTGCATGGCCTCCCTCAAACACCTCATCTACGCCCTGGGGGGCAGCGACGACGACGAGGACACCACGGAGCGCTTCGACATCCTGAGGGTGGAGTCCTACGACCCCAGCAGCGGGCAGTGGACCCGCCTGGCTCAGCTGCTGCTGCCCAACAGCGAGGCGGGGGTGTCCGTGTGGGCGGGGAGGATCTACGTGCTGGGGGGCTACAGCTGGGAGAGCATGGTGTTCTCCAGAGCCACGCAGGTGTACGACCCCGACAAGGACTCGTGGACCAGAGGCCCCGACCTGCCTAAATGTGTCGCAGGAGCCTCAGCGTGTGTGTGCACTGTGAAGCCCTCCCCCCCCCCAACCTCTCTGGGGGAGAAGAAGAAGGGGAAAGGAGCATTACCCCCCACGTGACAACAGCGAAGGACTATCTTATACAAGGCTGGACCTCATAGAGTCCTATCGAGAACACGGAAATGTTGAGTACCCCAAAGTATTATGTTAGAAATGTATAGTACGGGTCCCCAGCAAGTAGAAACTGCCGGATGCTAACTTCCAAAAAAATGTTGGCCATATTTGTACTCTCTATATCCAATGGTCGTAACACTACTCATGGTAGTCCAAATCAAACTACAAAGAGAAAAAATATGGCCACTTTCTGGTTTAAACTGCCATTTTTTATCCTAAAACGGTCAGAAATTAATTCAGCATCTTCAATAACCCCCTCAACCACTCCAAAACTGTCCAAATCGACCCAACCATTTTAATATCACTACTGATGCTAGGTTAGCATCCAGCATATGTGCTGGGGACCCTACTATGTTTACCCCTCCTGTCGTGTTTGTTTCACCCCCCTTACTTTGGTGTTAACACAAACCCCATTAATCATCACCACATTTGATTGAACACCCTTTTCAGCTGTAAACACTCTCTCAGACTACTGGTTTTCATGAATTACTGCAGTGAATATACAAAGAATAGACACTGAAAATGTGTTCCAACATTAACATGTTTGTCGATATGTGGCTGTTCCTCTGATGGGTGAACATACTGTAGGGTTACCCATTCATTTCACCATAGGTCTTACAAAGTGGACTAAACTACTCAACATTCAATGAAAGTGGTGATCAGCAATTTGATATGTTCAAATGCCTAATGGAGGACATCATAAGGCCTTGAAGCAATCAAATGTAAAACACAATATTTATGATTGATGAAAGTAGTAGATTTGACCCGAACATGACAGGAGGGTTATTAGAAGATATATATTTGTTATGTCCCCTACATGGGTAACAACAGTTGTTTTCGCCATGAGCTCAGGAGCAGAGTTGGGTGTAATAATATTACTTTTGTCGGTAACGGAGTAGTGTAACGCGTTACTTTTATAATTCAGTAATCACACTACAGTTACTAACATTGCCCCGACACGCGTTACTTCGTTACTTTTATAAAATCAGTCATAATCACACTGACAGACAAGAGGGGTTTCCGCCGCAGGTTTATATGTACGTAATCTGCGCGACTTGCACGTCCACATCTCTACGTGCAGTGCTGCATAAACATGGCTGAGTCAGCGATAACTTTCGAGGGGTGGAGGTATGCCCATTATTTTGAGTTCGTCCGAAGAATAGACAGGAATGTGACGGTGAGGTGCAAACTGTGTCCAGACCAGAAGCTGTTATCCACTGCTGTAAACACCACGTCAAACCTCAACAAACACCTGCAAAGAACACATGCTAAGGTGAAGCTAATAGCTAAGGACCCCTGAACCCAGAGTGAGGATGTTGTGAGTTCGCCGCCGCAAGAATTTGGAGGACCGGTAACCAAAGCAGAGATGGACAGGCTTGTAGCATCCTTCATAGTAGAGGTAATGTTGCCCATTTGCACAGTGGAATCACCATCGCATCGTTCAGAGATATACTGCGCAAAATACAGATAGCAGGAGACAGAGGACAGCCATGGTCAGAGCTATCTGGATCAGTCTTGTGTGACAATGGAAACTGAACTAAAGAGAACATTTGAAACTTTAGCAGTCTGCGTGATCTGCCTGCAGGGAGGGGCTGGCCGGCCCTGCGAGTAAAGTAACGAGTTACTTTATGTAGAGAGTAACGAAGTAGTGTAATATATTACTTTTTTTTTAAAGTAATATGTAATATGTAATATATTACTTTTTTTTTAGTAACGACCCCATCTCTGCTCAGGAGCACTGCAGCGCCACAGAGAGAGAGAAAACTGGCAATAATGGTTCCCATGGCTGCTTTCATTTCTGCAACTTCTCCTGCAAGACCTGAGCAAAGTACTGTGTGTCTGAGCCTTAACACTGTTCAGAGGTCAGATATGGTATCAGGTAGTCAATCATAACCCTCACTCCACCGCCAAGGTCAGACTGCTGTGCAGAACATTGTAAACACACAGAGTGTATGTAATAAAATATAATGTGTGCAGTATTTATAAAGTTTGTGTCAATTCTTTGTTAGACTGTGCATTTGTCTGTCTTAACCTGTCAAATTGCCTGCAATTTGAAAGAAATGTGACTGTAACGGCAAAGTATTTTATTCAAAACATGGAACATTATAAAACAAATCACTTCACTTGTAAAAGCTTATCAGGGCACTGATATTTGTTGGTTAAATATATTACAATCTCATTTGAAAGCTGAATCTTCTTAAACTGTGTGTTCACCTGCACATTAGAGTTTCCAGCTTACAGTCCTATAGTGAACCCAGAAATGTGTCAGAACCCCAAAGTTTTAACACATTAATATATATATATTATTATAATATATATTAGTATGGGATGCTAACTACAATTAGCAAGTTGCATTAATTAGCATTAAATACAATTATGTGTCTTGGCTGAACCTGTCTCTGTGGTCCTGCCTGACTCTCATACTACTTCTCTGATGGCTCCCACAGGATTGTTGACATCCACCTGGGTTCATATCCTTTTTTATAGGCACATGCATTTTCAAGCATTTGGGCTACCTATGTTGTAAATGTATTATCTTTTCAATTTACACGACACTGCAAGTCTATCCGTCCTGGGAGAGAGATCCTCCTCTGTCCTCAAGGTTTCTTCACATTTTTATATTGTGCTGTCTATATCCAATGGTTGCAACACTGCTCATGGTAGTCAACCTGGGACGACAGATATGGACACTTTTAGGTTAAACCCGCATCCTCAATAACCTCCAAAACCACTCAAAAGTTGTCCAAATCGGCTGTTGTTCAAATACAGTGAGCTGTAATGCCATTAATGCTAATCATGATACTGATGCTTATTGTGCAAACAGTTTCTATCTTCAGGGGACCCAACTATACATTTCTAACATAGAACTTTGGGGTACTCAACATTTCCGGGTTCACTATGCTGGCCACTACACTACTATATGATTATTCTTGTGCAGTAAGGCACACTGAATGGCAGTGTGAGGCTGTCTGAGGTCTTGTTGACGTGTCAGTAGGTGCAGTGTGCCGCCTCCTCTCCACTCATCCTCTGGCAGCTTCATACGAAGGGGTAGTACGGGTGAGACTTGACTCTGAAACAGAACGACATCATCAGTGTGTCAGGAGCTGCTCACTCAGAACAACATGGCTGTGATGAACTCACTCCTCCAGCAGGCAGGACCTCCACCCTCGGTCCAGTCCTCTCAGGGCTTGCATGTCCTCTTCAGTCAGACTGAAGTCAAAGATCTGCAGAAACAGTGACACTGATAAATGGCTTCTACAGATAACAATAATGATGCTCTTCTTAAAGTGAAGTCCTAGACAATGTGTTATTATTTTTGAAGGACAATTATTGAAGCAGCCCTTAAAGGGAAAATACGAAATACATGCTGAATGCCTATTGGTCAATTTAGCATTAAAGGTGGGGTAGGTAATTTTGGAGAAACCAGCTCGAGTGCGCAAGAATTTGAAAATACACAGCCGGAAAAAATCTGCCACTTCCTTACAGAGCCCCTCCTCCAACACACACGAGCGCGCACATGACCAATGAGGGCACGAGATAAGTTTGTGCACAGATGGAAGGCTGACAGGCAGGTAGGCCATCCAATCATTTTAGCCGGGCCGGCTACGGCTTCCACAGATGACATTTTTTTATGGATTTTTTGTCAAAGCATTTAAGATATTCATTGCTATCGGGATGTTAAGAGCATTCCATGGAATATAACAAAAAGTGTATCTCGAGCCGTTTTCTCAAACTTACCTACCCCACCTTTAAGGGGTAAAATAGACACCTAAAATCCAAGTCTGATCATCAAGTGTCAATATATACATCTTTACTAATCACACTCTAACATCAACAGTACTGAATAAAGAGTAGGAAATCAAAAGTGTGTTATAGTATATACAACCTGGTCTCACCAGAATGCGTGACTCCACCACGACTCCTTAACACCGCAGTGCGTGGTGGAGTCACGCACTCTGCTACATTTACGTGTCGGCACCCCAACAACCCCAATGTAAAGTGAATGAGGCTCCTTTGTCGTGGTGCACACACGCATTTCTACAACGTCCCGCAGTGAGCTTTTATTCTATAAAACGTTTTTAAAATCTACTTTATAGCTTGTAGTAACTCACGGGAGGCTTCTTTTATTTTATTTGTATTCATAATAATTTTTATTTTTCGTCAGAATGTATTATGGTGCATTAGTTACGAATTTTTGTTCTCAAAAAACAGTGCATTGTGTGTAATACAACCAGTGGCGTCGCCTGGCCTGGGCATCCGGGGCTTTAGCCCCGAATGTTTTTTCTGTAGCCCCGGACAATTCTCCCTCAATAATATAATACATTAACCGTGCTTTACGTGAACCTCATCATGACACAAGAGAGGACGGCAGCACTGTAATTTCCCGTGTTCAGTGAATGCAACAGAGGCATGACACCAGACCTGTGTGTGTGGCAATAGCGCATTGTGTGATAGAGAGAGAGAGAGGGAGAGAGGGGGAGGGAGGGACCGTGTCAGCATGGACCGTGTTGTTAGCATCTGGTTAGCTAGCTGCACTAACGGACATAAGGAGCTGTTTGTTCCACAAGAAGCTGGAGGAGAGTCCTCTCCTCTCAGACTGAGAGACTCAGGTGAGCTAAAGGACTCTCTGAGTGTTTAGATAGTTAACTTTAGTAAGTTATCTCAGTGGGTCTCAAACGGTTTGGTCACAAATTATTCAAAAGATTATTTCCGCGGCACACCTTCATATGATCATTATAGTTATTAAAAAAAAGAGAATAAAGGAAAAACAGTTATGAAATACTATATGGCAGTAAAACAAGAATAGAGTTTAAAAGGGGAGTGATTAGTAAAATATCCATAAAGAAAAAGTACATCTGTTTACAGTTCTGCTTCATATGGGTGTTGAGAGAGGTATCCATAGATCTCTTCATTTTGCTCTCAAAGTGCACCAGATTGATGCATTTAACTTCAATATTTAAAAAAAAATCTTCCCGGGGGAGCTTCCCCCCGGACCCCCCTAGAGGAGGTGAGCCCCCCACTCATAAAAAATACCACTTTATCCCTGCCTATATGCCTTGAGCTGATTATCGAGCCTTCATTGTAACAGTCGCGGGTGTACTGTGTGTGTGCGTGTGGGGAGTGTTGCAGTAAAAAAATGCCACTGTAGTGCCGCCGCCACTGTGGGCTAAGCCCCGAATGTTTTCAGGTCCAGGCGACGCCCCTGAATACAACTGTGATTTTTATTAAATTAGTTAGTTTTTAAGTAAGGCCAGAGCTTCAGCAGTGTCAAATAGATTGTTCCCTTTAGTTAACGTTATTTAAAAGATAATTATATTCCTATTTGATCATGTCCCCATTATTGTATTACGGACCCAAAGAGCAATGTGAGCGTCCATTCCCATTGGATAACGGAGCATTTTACACCCGGAAGTAAGTATTCTCCTTACTGTCGATTGATTTTACAGTGATATCTGCACTACTCATCAAATCAAAAACACCAGATTATCCTTGTTAATTACACAAAATTGATTGGTTTAAATTGTGTACAATGCTTTTGTATTTTCCCCTTTCGATTCGGAGAAACAAATATTTTTTCGGAGTTTTTGGATGACAGAAGACACTACACTACCCAGAATCCTCAGCTATGGGACTACACCATGTGCTTAGAACGTGTCCTACCCCCCCCCTTAGGTCACAGGCTCCTCCAACAGTGCAACACAATAAAACAGATGCACAGAAAAAATAGTGCAAGTAAATACAAAAAGAAAAATAGTAAAATAGTAAAAAGTGAAATAGTGCAATAGGAGTCTATATACAAGTGATTGGAATATGATATATTAGATAAATCATTTCTAAGTAGCAGCCAGATGAATGTTATGGATGTTGTTTCTAAGTTCAGGGGCCTCATTTATAACGCCTTGCGTAGGATTGACGTGGGAAGGTTGCTTACGTAGTACAAAGCAAAAAAATAGGTACAGAAATGTTCCGACATTTTCCGATTCACAAAACATTGCGTACCGGCGAGGGAAGTGCGTACGGCACTTCCTATGCCTGTTTCCCTTTATAAATCACAATCGACTCGTAACGCCCATATTTGCCTATAAATAGTCAAAGAAACGCCCATTCATTCATTTTGACTGACTGCATGAAGAAGATCGCAGGAAATGAGGACAGAACAGCTAAAAAAGACATCTCACACCGTGTCAGATTTAGGTTATTTTGGGGAGGTGGAGATAAATCATATTGTTTGGTGGATGCAGTTTGAACCAGAGTAGCAGCATGGAGGTCGGATCGTCACCAAAATAAATAAATAAGTGGTCCGAAAAAAGTTAATGACAAAAAAAATACACATAACCTTCCTCAGGCAGTGTGTTTGTACCGGGGACAGGAGACCCCCCCTTGATGAGAAACTGTAAGAAATGATCGGGGAATCCCTCCGGAGTGGAGTCATGACGACTGGATCTGAATTATTTTGTTGTATTTGGTGGTTTGTGTTCCAGCTGTCGATCAGCAACTATATATCCATAATCCACCAGTTAAAGGAAATACAACTAATGTGTTGTGTTATATTAGCTGTACAATTTACCACATATGGTGTTCTTAGTTTCCATACCTCCTGTGTTTTACGAGCGACTTATCTTGGCAAACGGCATAAAACACGATTAAACGTGATAGTATATAAAACCATGCTCGTATCTACAACCTATAGAAATGCAAAACGGCGTCAGACGGCAGCAGACAGAACAGTTTGTGGCTGGGGTGATGGGGGTCTTTTATAATCCTGAGGGCTTTCTTTAAGGTTAACCTGGTATTTTTACTCCACTACATTTATTTTAGTTACTTTACAGATTTGGATTAATGATGTGAAATATAAACAACCCTTAAATCAGACTTTAGTTACACAGGAGTAAAATTCAGTGAAGGTGATTGTCAAGTGCCAACAATCAGGCGAGGTATTTGGTAGTGGGTGCTTGAGAAGGCTAAATATTTATCTGCAGATCCCTATAAAGCATATTCATTACTCGTTATTCTCTACTAATAGTTAAAAACTGTATATAATGGCTATGGCTACATCCCTTTCAAGATTTCAAGATTTTCTAAGGTTTATTGACATATCATATACACAACTACGGTGTAGTTATGCAATGAATGAAAAACTTGGGTCATAGGTTCCTCAACAGTGCATTACAAGACATCTATCGATATCTGTATACCTCCACCATTAAACATATTCTGCACATTTCTTATACTATCTACATACATCTTATAAGAGTATAATTAATATGTATAATATCAGTTAAAATAAGTGCTTCAACATAGTTAACATTGCAGGAAAGTTGATTGTCAAGTTCCAAAACAAACCATGCAATATATTAGACGTTAAGTACTTTGTCAGGCTTAATATCTGGAGATACCCCCAAAGCTTTTTTCTTATTTAAAAGAAGACCTTAACCTAAAGTATTCTTTAATGTTTAAATAAAGCCTTATTAGTTTGTCTGTTTTGCACATCCTCCTATCAGGCACTAAACTGTTTTATTGTAGAGATCACTTACAGTATCTTCTTGATATTTTCTATTCTATATTATTTATATCATTGACCTTCCACTTTCCCACTATATTAAGAGTATGTACTCTTAATATTTAAATGTTTTCATCAAATATAACACATTCAAAAGTGCTTTACAAAAATGAAAGACATTAAGAAAAAGGCATTTTAAAACAGTCATTAAAAAGCAACACAATCTACCTGCATTGCAATTACTCTAAACGTGTAATAACGTGCTTTAACCAGTAGGAGGTGCGGGTTAAAAAGCTGTCAAGTTTACAGTGTTAACAAAATAAAATATACTGCTGTTTCTGGTTTAGTTTACGACGGATATATTCTGTTATTGTTTTGATATTTGTAACACAAAAGCGATGTAAAAAACCCACAGCAACACAGAAAAGATGGTCTTAACATGACCCAGCGGTCTAGTAGTTAATAAAAAACAATAATATCAAAACAAATTATTACTACTAACTTTATTGTGAAATTAAAACAGAACAGTAAAAGAATAGTTTCCGGTCTATTCTGAGGCCCGATCTCTGTAGATAAATAAAGAACTACGACAGATGTGTAATATTTAATGCAGCCAAACCATTACAATGCATTCATGTGATGACTTTCAAAGAGTAAAGCAAGCACTGCTGAATAAAGTATGATTTTATCTTTTACGAAACGTTTTTTTTCATATGGACTGCAGTTGGAGGTCAACCAATCACAGAGCTTGAGGCAAAGCGGAACAATAGCTGAGGATTCTGGGTAGTGTACTGTCTTCGGCCATCCTAAACTCTGAACAAATATTTGTTTCTCCGAATCGAAGGGGAAAATTACAAAAGCATTGTACACAATTTAAACCAATCAATGTTGTGTAATTAACAAGGATAATCTGGTGTTTTTGAGTTGATGAGTAGTGCAGATATCACTGTAAAATCAATCGACAGTAAGGAGAATACTTACTTCCGGGTGTAAAGTCCTCCGTTATCCAATGGGAATGGACGCTCACTTTGCTCTCTGGGTCCGTAATACAATAAAGGGGACATGATCAAATAGGAATATAATTATCTTTTAAATAACGTTAACTAAAGGGAACAATCTATTTGACACAGCTGAAGCTCTGGCCTTCCTTAAAAACTAACTAATTTAATAAAAATCACAGTTGGGTTGTTTGCGTGGTGCAGACACGTAAATGTAGCAAAGTTCGTGACTCCACCACGCACTGCGGTGTTAAGGAGTCGTGGTGGAGTCACGCATTCTGGTGAGACCAGGTTGAGTATATACAGTAACACACTACAGGAAAAGGAAAACCCTAAAAAGCAGAATAGGGCCACTTTAAGGTATAGCTTATTGTTGTTGGACCATACATGTGTGTGTTTAAATACAATGCACAGCACATGTGACTTTTTTGGGTTATATATCCATTATCCACACTTTCAGAAAGGCTTGGAGTCGTTGTGCAGGACTTTCTTAATTGATGCTGCTTTTGAATTGACTTGGTTGAGTGGTGTGTGTATAATTAAAAATATATATTTTTTATTATAATTATATCTTTTCTAGAAGTCTGTCTGTTCATCACCAGAATTATCTCATGGATTGCCTTGAAAGACTTCATGGTCCCCAGAGGGTAAATCCCTGATTGCGTAGTTGTGAGTGAAATGCCTCTAAAACTTAAATGAGTTTTTTTCATGTCCTATACGATGAATTGCAATAACATGACCTAACTTTTTATTTAGCACATTGATGCAATGCTTAATGACTGCACAACAGCAGTTAGGACAGGGTTATGGAAAGTAGTTAATTTGCTGCAAAGTGATTGTTGCTGTATTTTTGCATCACATTTTGATCAAACTGCTACACAACCCTGCCTGACAAACCAACAACTTAAAAGGACATGAATGACTGTTTTTATGAAAAGCTGAGAATACAGTAGATGTTTTGCAGTGATGTTGTCTCATGCATTATTGAGTTTTTGTTGTGGAAGATGCAGATTCCTCTGTCCAGCCCCAAACAGCAGACAGAGACAAGCGGGTGAACATGGTGGAGCATTTAGCAGCTAAGGAGACATATATTTATATAGAGGGGGTGGAGACCATAACAATGTGAATATCTGACTATACTTAATGTCTGTTGAATGTATAAATAGACAAATACAATCTAAATCAAACGTGTTTATTTAGCCCAATATCAAAAATTACAAATGTGCCTCATAGGGTTTAAAGTCGGTTCAGCATACTCTCAGGTCTTTGCAGTGCAAAAGGAAACAGTAATATGTTGTTTCACTCCCCCTAATTGGCCGATTAATTCAGTTTTAAATGGATATCGTAAAAAAATAAATAACAAGGTTTGATTTTCAAAACAGAATTTAAATTCCAAACTCAGTTGGGCTACAGCTACATGTAAGAGCAATGGTAATCTAAAATGACCCAAAAGAAACCAAAAATAAAGGAAAGAGTGTGAGAGCCAAGAAGATAAACGGAAGGATGTTTAAAGAACCCACCACATCACAAAGCAGCGTGCGTACTGATGAGTCTGAGAGAAACAAAGAGGTTTACCTTTGTGTTCTCCAGGATGTGATGAGGCTTGTCACTCTTCGGGATGACTGCAACACCCTGCTGCACGTGGAACCTGAGCAACACCTGGAGCAGACCACTGTTACTGACAGGGAAACACACACACACACACACACACACACACACACACACACACACACACACACACACACACACATATGGAGGACACACAGTCACACTGACCTGTGCGGGGCTGTGTCTGTGCTTCTGGGCGATATCTGCCACCACGGGGTCCTCCAGCAGCCTCAGAGGATCAGTCTCTCCTCTCAGCCTGAGGGACAGATCAGGATTTACAATCACCACAATCAGTGGGCTGGGTGAGGACATTTCTAATATTTCACCATATTTCACTAGACCCATCCTATTCCAGTCTGCATCAGAAATATCAAAGACCCTCCCCTGCTTATGAAGGCGAATTTCAAGCTGTCCCCCACTCTAGCTGTGACATCACGCACTCTAGCCTTAACGAGCTGCGCAATACACACTAATGTTAAAATCTGAAGAAGGCCTCTTTACCAAGGTCTGAACAATGTTTAATATCTCTACAAGTAAGAATCAGATTTAAAAGTTGTGTTACACGAATAATGTCAGAAAGATGTGTAACATTTTAAAGTTGGAATGAGGTTTCTGAGTGAAAGTATGAATGAACAGTTAGCAGTTGAAGTCGCATGAAGATTTGTTGAAGTCTGAAGAGTTTCTCCATTGACTTCAATGTTAAAAATGTGATGAATTATGGGATGTATCTCTGGAATTATGAAAGTTATGACTGATAAAAGTAATAGCTATCCATTCCCGACCGAGCTGAACGTTTTGATGTTTGAACGGAGTTTCTGCGATGTGGAATGTGGGAGAAGAAGAGGTGCAAAAAAAAACGGCGGAATAAAAATAATAAAGAATTTGTGCGTAGCATTACAGATTACACTAAATTACTAAGAGAATAAAAGCTTCACCGATGAGGAGTCCATGAAGACAAACTAGGAGTGTTAGCGCTCTTCTCAGGATCAATGTCTGCATATACTTTGATACATAAGGAGGAACGTTTCTAAAAGCAAAAGCTGCTCCTATTTACACAGCTCGATTTCACTAAGGTATGCCGTTTTGGTCCCGTCCATACTACACAAATGCAAAAACAGATATATCAAAAAATAGGAACGGAATATAGGAAAAATAAGGACATTTGAAAGAAAAACTACAATATTTAGCCTACAAGTAATACACTGGTAGAATAAAGCCTATTCTTTTGCTCAAATATGTCTATGAATTGTTTCTCTCTCTGAACTCTCTTGAAGCTGGAGTGCAGGACATTTGTCTAGAAACCTGAGAGGGACAGCAGCTAGTTTGTAAAACCAACAACTGCTGACGGGATTTTAACTGCAGGACCCAACACACAGTGGATCTGAATAAATGAGCCGCATGGATCACAAAATCATTACGCATTGAACATGACATTTCAGCTTGGATCTTACATTTTGAACTAAATCCAATAATCCAGATAATCATCAAAATGTAAATCTGTTAATATGGCACCAAATGCTAGAATCACTTAACCTTACATTTTGTCAAGAAACATATGGTTAGTGAACATCCGTTTTAATAAATAAAAAAAGTCATCATAAGGTCACCTGCATAAATAAATAAGCAACATTTATTAAATAGCAACATTATATGTTTATTTCATACAAAATGAATCTATACTCCATGCAATCGAAAGTAAGATCCCATAATGTCCTGTCCCTAAACAAGACCTCTGAGCCTGACCTCAATGAGTGTCTGGTATTAACAGCAGCATGTGAGTGGTGCGGGGGGGCTTACAGCTCTGGGGGTCTTGCAGGTGAGCCAAAGGGACTGAAGGCAGTCAGCACGATGTTCTTGGATTTACATAGCTCGATCATCTCAGACTGCACCAGGTAGGGATGCAGCTCGATCTGTGGAGGATGCACCAAACAGAAGCTGAACACAGAGGCTGATCTGCTGCTCAACAGTCAGCTGCTGAGCAGGAACAAAGATGTGTTCATGTGAAAGAGAGCTCTTACTTTATGAAAGTGTGTTACCTATAAGAATGAAGGTTCAAGAAGGCAGAGGTGGAAAGTAACTTAATACATTTAATCAAGTACTGTACTTATTTACAATTTTGAAGTACTTGTAATATACGATATATGATTGCAGGATTTTTACTTCTACTTTTACTCAACTACTAGATCTCTTCTTCCACCTCTGGAAATAAGAGTGTTCTGCAGTACCTCCAGTTCCAACTGCCGACCCACAGCCTGGGACAACCCAGCCCCTCCGCTGTTTCACGGACATCACTCAGCGAGAGGTTGAGGGCATCGTTAGGAGGATGAAGCCTTCCACCTGTGTCCTGGACCCCCTTCCATCAGCTCTGGTGAAATCCTACATCAGTACCATGAGCCCCATGATCACTAAGATCGTAAACCTCTCTCTCCAGGCTGGCCATGTCCCCTCTGCCCTCAAAACCGCTGTCATCAAACCTCGTCTCAAAAAACCCTCCCTTGACCCGGGAGTCCTGGCCAACTACAGACCCATTTCCAACCTCCCATTTCTATCAAAGGTGCTGGAAAGAACCATCTAAACTCAAACAACATATTCGAGAAGTTCCAGTCTGGTTTCCGCTCAGGCCACAGCACAGAAACTTCCCTGGTCAGGGTCACCAACGACCTGCTGATGACGGCTGATGCTGGCTCTCCCTCTCTCCTCATCCTCCTCGATCTCACTGCAGCTTTCGACACAGTCGATCACGGCATCCTCCTCCACCATCGGACTCTCTGACTCTCCCCTTGACTGGTTCAGATCTTACCTCATCGGGAGAACAGAGTACGTCTCGTTGGGTGAGGCAGAGTCGGGTACCCATGATGTCACCTGTGGTGTCCCTCAAGGATCAGTTCTCGGCCCCACCCTATTCACACTCTAGATGGCTTGTATCATCAGCCGACATGGAGTATCATTCCATTGTTACGCTGATGACACCTCAGGATCAACCCTACCTCCTCTGCAGCCCTGCCTTCACCCACACTTACTGCCTGCCTGGAGGAGATACAGGCGTGGATGAAGCAAAAACTTCCTGAAACTGAACAGCTCCAAGACCGAAGCCATTATAGTTGGCACCTCACACCAGGTTCGGTCATCCACCATCACCACCATCACCTTCTCCGGCCAGGACATTACCCTCTCCTCAACAGTCACCACCATGGGTGTGAAAATGGACGCCCATCTGACCTTTGAGGCCCACATTAAACAGCTGTGCAAGAACTCCTTTTATCACCTCAGGAACATCGCCAAACTCCGCCCCACACTCACTCTGTCTGACGCCGAAAAGCTAGTCCACACCTTTGTCTCCTCCAGGCTGGACTACCTCATCGGGATCCCCAACAAAAGCATCCAGAAGCTCCAGTACATTCAGAACAGCGCTGCTAGGATCCTGATGAGGGTGCGCAAATATGATCATATCACCCCCATCCTGAAATCACTAGACTGGCTCCCCGTGGAACTTAGGATTGAATACAAGGTCTCCCTCCTCACCCACCATACACCCAGTGTATCCATGGAACTGCCCCTCCCTACCTCAAGGAACTCCTCACCCCTCATACTTCTTTGCGGACCACCCGCTCCAGCAAAGCCAACCTCCTCAAACCCCCCAGGACCAAGCTCCGTACTATGGGAGACCGGACCTTCTGCTCGGCTGCTCCCAGACTGTGGAATGCTCTCCCCGAGCACATGAGAGCACCACAGACCGTGGAGGCTTTTAAAAAAGGCCTCAAAACCCATCTGTTCAATAGAGCCTTTTCCTAGACCTTTTATCCTATTTATTACTACCCTTTTATTTATTTTGTATTGTTTGTTTTTACTGCTTTTTATTCAATTCTACCGTGTTGTGTACTGTTTTATATTGTTCCATGCTCACTGCTTGTAGCACTTCGGGATTTGAACTCAAATATGAAGTGCGTTATAAATTAAACCCATTATTATACCTGGTTGACAGCGGGGGGGGCCCTGCACAGAGCCAGGAGTCTCTGCAGCTGCAGGACGCTGAAGTTAGACACCCCGATGCTCCTCACCTTCCCTGAGGCCTGCAGGGCCTCCATGCCCTGCAACACAACACACAGCAGGGAATGAGAAGCTCTAAATACCCTTTTGCCATTTATCAGAAACAAATGTAAAGATATGTTACAGTTTCACACTAACAGGAGTGGAGATGAACCTCCAGGGAGAAAACGTGTTTATCTTTCACTGTCATATCAATGGTAAATGATTCTGTGACGGACAGAGAGGATGAGTGTGTGGAGCGGCATATGGATGTTGTGGGGGGGCCGGTGTAAGTGTAACTGAAAGAGTGTTCTTACCCTCCACACATCCACATAGTCGATGTCAGAGGTCAACATCTTTCCATCCTTCTTCGGGAAAAGCTCATCTCCCATTTTCTAAAAAAGAAATGTAAAGGTAATATAAGATGCTTCTTGGCAAAGATATATGGCATGTGTGCTTTTTCGAGTTGTAATTGCATCCTCCTTCAACTAGACTATGCACATTTAGAAACACATATAGAGCCATAAATGTTGCATAATCTGCATTAATTCTTTTATATTTTAAATATTGGCAATAAATATAAATATATTATTTTAAATAGTTGTTCATATAGTGAAACCTGCTAATAATTAGCACTTTGCTCGTAATAATCACCTATATAAAACATAATTAAGCCTATTTTCAGTCAAATAAATGTGGTCAGCCATGTGTGTGTTAGAGCTATTGCCTGAGTTTCATTTGGAGGGTTTCAGCCCCCTAATGAATAAGAATCTTGAAATGCAGCTTTGTTGGAACAGAATCTTAAGGCTCTAAAGTCCAAAAATGCAGACCAGCTCCGGTCAAATCCTTCCTTCATAGCATCAGCTCAGGACCTCCGCTATACATCAGGATAAGGAGCTGTACATTTTTGATTGTGACAAACAGTTCTGAATGTTACGCTCAACCTTTAGGCCAACAGGGAAATGCACGAGGTACAGGTCCAGGTAGTCCAGCTGGAGGTCTTTCAGGGACTTATCCAGGCACACAGGGATGTCCTCTGGCGCATGATGGGTAAGCCACAGCTGTAAAGGAAATACAATAAGAGATAATGAACAGGAGAATAACAGAAAAAGAATGAATAAAAAAACATCGGAAAAGACATTCTAAACATGTTTAATGCACAACATTATTTAAATGTTGTTTTATTAACTCAAAAGCTTTTTGGAGAAAGTATCAAAGTTTTATGTGAGAAATGTTTAGTAGGGTCCCCAGCACATAGAAACTGCTGGATACTAACTTGCATATGTCGGGCAAATTGCACAATGAGCATTTACTTAGCATTACCATTAAAGCCTATGAGGACAATAGTAAAAAATGGCTTGGCCAATTTGGACAGTTTTGGATTGGTTTTGGAGATTATTGAGGATGCTGAGTCAATTTTAACCAGAAGGTGGCCATATTTTTACTCTTGGAAGGCTGATTTTGATACATTTTGGGTAGATTTTGAAGTTTTAGGGGACAAATTGATCATTTGGATTGGAAACCATTTTTTCCACTGTAGAGATAATAATGTTCATCTTGTGCTCTCTATATCCAATGGTTGCAACACTACTTATGGTAGTCATCCCACCGAGGGTACAAATATGGCCACTCTGTTTAAAACTGCCATTTTGAATCCTGAAAGTGTCAGAAATTGACTCAGCATCCTCAATAACTGCCAGGCCATTTTAAACTATTGTTTGCATAAGCTACAATGCTAATACATGCTAATTGTGCAAATTGCCCAACATATGCAAGTTAGCCTCCAGCAGTTTCTATGTGCTGGGGACCCTAGCCTACTATACATTTCTAACATAAAACGTTGGGGTTCTAAACATCTCCAGGTTCTACGCTGGCAACTAGATTAATGTGCGAACTTCAGTTTGTGTCCACTTTCATGCATGCTGGGACAGGTGTCATTTCTGCTCTTTGCCATTCAAAAACTCATCAGTTGTGTGAACAGCATGCTGTGAATCCCCCCCCCCCCCCCCCCCCCCCCCTGGTTTTGCCCCTGCCCTCCCTGGCCCCCACCTTACTGACGATGAACATGTCCTGGCGCCTGATGATGCCCTGCTGCATCTTGGAGCGCAGGGCCTTTCCGATGTGAACCTCGTTGTTGTAGCTGTGGGCGGTGTCTATGTGACGGTAACCCGCGGCGATGGCTGCCTCCACTGCACCCTGCACCGAGGAGGGGGGGAGAGGGGAGGGCTGCAGGAGGAAGACATTTCAAATCAACAGCTCATTCTCTCACATCGTATCCACTATCTGCCATCTGAAAACCATTTGAAATCATTACTGCTGTTTGTGGTTTTTTTAAAGTGCATGAGGTTTACTAGTCTGCCAAAGCTCGTAGAAATGCTCTGGTCCTCGTGGTAATATGCTCACTAAACTAATGTCCAGAGGTGGGAAGTAGTGAAGGACAAATACTTAGTTAATATACTTGAGTAGATTTTTCTGGTATCAGCAGTGGCGTCGCCTGGCCTGGGCATCCGGGGCTTTAGCCCCGAATGTTTTTTCTGTAGCCCCGGACAATTCTCCCTCAATAATATAATACATTAACCGTGCTTTACGTGAACCTCATCATGACACAAGAGAGGACGGCAGCACTGTAATTTCCCGTGTTCAGTGAATGCAACAGAGGCATGACACCAGACCAATCAGAGAGTTGCATGGAAATAAACGTGTGCTTGTGTCATTCAAGCTCGGCTCTGTGTGTGTGGCAATAGCGCATTGTGTGATAGAGAGAGAGAGAGGGAGAGAGGGGGAGGGAGGGACCGTGTCAGCATGGACCGTGTTGTTAGCATCTGGTTAGCTAGCTGCACTAACGGACATAAGGAGCTGTTTGTTCCACAAGAAGCTGGAGGAGAGTCCTCTCCTCTCAGACTGAGAGACTCAGGTGAGCTAAAGGACTCTCTGAGTGTTTAGATAGTTAACTTTAGTAAGTTATCTCAGTGGGTCTCAAACGGTTTGGTCACAAATTATTCAAAAGATTATTTCCGCGGCACACCTTCATATGATCATTATAGTTATTAAAAAAAAGAGAATAAAGGAAAAAACAGTTATGAAATACTATATGGCAGTAAAAACAAGAATAGAGTTTAAAAGGGGAGTGATTAGTAAAATATCCATAAAGAAAAAGTACATCTGTTTACAGTTCTGCTTCATATGGGTGTTGAGAGAGGTATCCATAGATCTCTTCATGTTGCTCTCAAAGTGCACCAGATTGATGCATTTAACTTCAATATTTAAAAAAAAATCTTCCCGGGGGAGCTTCCCCCCGGACCCCCCTAGAGGAGGTGAGCCCCCCACTCATAAAAAATACCACTTTATCCCTGCCTATATGCCTTGAGCTGATTATCGAGCCTTCATTGTAACAGTCGCGGGTGTACTGTGTGTGTGCGTGTGGGGAGTGTTGCAGTAAAAAAATGCCACTGTAGTGCCGCCGCCACTGTGGGCTAAGCCCCGAATGTTTTCAGGTCCAGGCGACGCCCCTGGGTATCAGTACTTTACTCCACTATTTATCTTAATGACAACTTTTTACTTTTACTTATTACATTTTTAACACAAATACCTTTACTTTCTACTTCTTACATTTTAAAAACATGCTCATTACTTTAGTTGTAATCTGCATTGGTCGTGCTTTTTACAGCGCTACGGCTTCCACAGATGAATTTTTTTAATGTATTTATTGTCAAAGCATTTAATATATTCATTGCTATCGGGATGTTAAGAGCATTCCATGGAATATAACAAGTGTTTCTGAAATAAATGACATACCCCACCTTTAAGTACTGTACTGCTCCACTCCCATTCAGGCAAATAGTGTTTTGCTAAGCTGAACAGCCAGTGGCGTAACTATCGACGGTGCAGCCGGTGCAACGCACCGGGGCCCAGAGCCGGCCAGGGGCCCATGCAAAAAATAATGTTTGGGGCCCCAATGGCATTGACCGGTTCACGCAGTCTTCAAAGTAACCAAGCAACCTAAATTAATTTGTAATTTGTCTGTCCAATGACCTTGCTCCCTTTCATGTCATGTGATACCTTGCGTGACGAGCGAACCGTTTAATCAACCTGTACTGTACTGTAGCTAGCAGCAGCAAGTTCGGCAGCATTATAACAAATGTAATAGCTTGCATTTATAATGTACAGCAAAGCACAAGAGCAGCGCTCAAAAGAGAAAGGACAAGAGAAGAAGAAGAAGAAGAAGAAGAAGAAGAAGAAGAAGAAGAAGAAGATACACTTTATTAATCCCTTACAGGGACATTTCTTTCCCCACTCTGTTGTGTTTACACACATTACACACACAGGGGAGGATATACATGCACAAACACAGAGGATATACATGCACACACACAACCACATGCAGATAGGAGAGGTGGCAGAGCAGAGAGGCTGCCAGGTACCCGGTTCCAAGAGAGCAGTTTCGAGGTTAGGTGCCTTGCTCAAGGGCACCTCGGCAGAGGCCTTGGAGGTGAACTGGCACCTCTCCAGCTACCAGCTCACTCCATCTTTTGGTCCGATCGGGACGTGAACCGGCAACCCTTCGGTTCCAAGACCAAGTCCCTACAGACCAAGCCACTGCCGAGAGAACAAGGAGATGTAACAGCTAAACTGATGAAATTAGACCGTTTTTTTGTCATACATCGTCCTCAAAATCGAGCGCTAACGTTAGCAATGTTGACGTGCAACGGGAGCCGGATAGCTCACCTGCCTCACCACCATCATTGCCATCTAGCTCCACAAGTGAAGCTGTATCCGTGGCCGTGTTTGAGCGCATCATTGTGCGCTTATGTTTGGGGCGATGGGGGGGGCCAAAACAATATTTGCACCGGGGCCAATCACAACCTTGTGAGAGTGATTTATTTTGCCGACAGCCTCCGCTGCCGATTCAACAAGGTGAATCGGCACGGCCGATTTTGGGAGTCAGAGGCCGTCAGGCATTCGGGGCGCCCTACTCAGGTTGGTGTGCCGTCGTCTCTTTACGGCACCTTTTCACACCTCCCGATGCCTCCCGCAGCCGATTCAACATGTTGAATCGGCCGCGGGAGGTCAGAGAAAGTCGGCCCAAGCAATCACTCTGATTGGCTGTTCACACTACCGCTGCCTGCTGGTAAGGACAGTTATTGCCACTTGTCGACTGAAGTATTTGCGGTGTGTTCGTACGCAGGCGACGAAGCTGACGTAAAAGTCGGGACGCCTTCGGTACGCGTTCTTTGGCAGGACGCTCGTCGACGGCAAGACATCTATCGACGGTCGAAATCGGCTTGGTGTGTCAGGGCCTTAAAGCACTTTTGTTTAAGTCTGTTGTTTTCTAGAAAATACATTTGACTTAAAGCAAGTATTTTCTCTCCAATTATCTCCCCAGGTTTTATCTCCTTTTAAAGTATCTTTCACCAATTCTGCACGTGTTACCAACACATAATGGAGCACTACTCACAAACTGTTTGCAAATAAACAAACTCAGTCCAGCTGGATTGTTGACAGTGACAATACAGAAATGTGCTCAGTCTACCTTCCAGGTCCCGAGCCCCAGCGCTGGCATCAGTGAGCCGTCACTCAGCTCTATGGAACGGGACACCTGAGGCTCCTCCATGGAGACGTTTACCACGGCAGGAGCAGGTCAGCAGAGTGACACTCACACACTCTCACACACACACTCTCACACACTCACAGCTTTCCTCTTCCTCTTTTCACCTCACACTGCAACTGCTGAGTCAACGTCCTTCCTTTTTCTCTGCTGATCTTACTTCTCTATCTGATATGTTTCTCTCATTCTCTCTCTCTCTGTCCTTCCCCTCACCTCTTCCTCTCTCCTGTGTCTTATCAGTCCACAAGTTAATTATTGGACAACACACAGAGTACTTCACCAGCATGAAGCACTTACGGGTATAGTCAGTAGGTGAGGAGGAGCATGTTGCAAAGGTCACTGTTCTCATGTGGGCAGCAGTGCACACACACACACACACACACACACACACACACACACACACACACACATAAACACACACACACACACACACACACACACACACACACACACACACACACACACACACACACACACACACACACACAGGCAGGGTCACATTGTGAGAAACAATCTGCTGTGTTATTAACACTTCAACATTAGCTGGTGATATTGTATCACTTCATTGTACACCTACCGTACCAATGCTTCACATTTAAAGGAGAAAGTCTATAGTTTGAATGACATCATATAAAATGTCTTCCAAAATATCAATTCATAAAAATATATAGAGAAATTAATCATTAATAATACATTGGATTTATATAGCACACTTTAAAAACCACGTCATCTCAAGGTGCTTCACAAAGCTATAAGGAGAAAATAATAAAACAAATACAAAAATAAAAAGATATCTAAAGGTGCATATTGAATAAAATATGGTAAAATAAAAATAAAAGGTTAAGAGCAAAAGGTTTAAAATAAAATAAATAAATAAGTCTTGAGGCATTTCCTAAAAAATGAGAGTGATGCAGAGGTCCGTATGTTCTCTGGAAGCTGATTCCACAGACGTGGACCCAGGGAGGAGAAAGCACGGTTTCCCATGGTGACCAGTTTTGTCTGCAGAACAGCCAGGAGATTGGAGCTGTCTGACCTGAGTGTGTGTGAGGTATGCGAATGTTTTCTGGTGAGCAGTTCCTGTAGGTAGGTGGGGCCAGTGTGGTTGATGGCATTGAAGACCATTATGAGGTCTTTGTAGTTGATCCGGTGTGTTACAGGGAGCCAGTGAAGTGAGTGAAGGATGGGAGTGATGTGCTCTGATTTGCGTGTTTTTGTGAGTATCCGGGCGGCACAATTTTGTACATATTGCAGTCTCTGAGTGGTTTTTGCTGGAATGCCTGCAAGCAGAGAATTGCAGTAGTCACTGCGGGAGGTGATGAAGGCATGGCCTGGTTTTCTGCGTCCGGTTTGGTGAGGGAGTGTCGCATTTTGGAGATGTTCCTCAGGTGGTAGTATGAGGCTTGGCAGACCGTTTTAATGTGTGCTTGGAATGAAAGGGATGAGTCCAGTTTGGGGTAGTTTGGAAATAAATCTGTGTGTCATCGGCATATGTGTGGAAGTTGATGTTATGGCTCCTCAGTAATTAACCTCTTGTACAAAAAAAATATTCCTGCCAGTAACAAAGAACTCTATGCTTGCTTGTTTGGTATGTAAAGAGTATTTCATTTTAAGATGGATATGTACAGTGGATTGATGTGTTTTTGTGTGTCAGGTAAATCAGTCTTCAATCAAAGTGATCCTGCCTCGAGTACAGTGGAGAGTTTTCCCATATTCATTTTACAGGAGACAGTGTATACATTTAAAGAAACGTGTCATTATCAAGCTTTTAATTTGAAGGTGAAGAAGTAGTAGACCTTCTTTCTACCCCTTGGCCAAATGAACCTCAGCCCATGTTCTTACAGGAAGACTGGGTATATATTCATTCACTCCACAGCTGCATATAATCAGCTCTTTAACCAATTACATTTCACCTCAATCTCCAGCAGCCAATCATCGTGCTGCAGTCAAACTTTAAAATGGTTCTCCTCTCTCCTGCAGTCAGCTGTGATTTCAGGTGTTCATGCTGCGGCCGTACCGTTTCCAGATCCTCGAAAGCAAGAGATCAAGTCTCGTCCAGCCCTCAGATCCATCATTCAAAAACCCAGTGCGTGGTTAAACCGGGTCTCCACAATGCTCAGATGCACAATAGCGTCCATGCACAGCCTTTTTGGCTCCATTCATCGGGTAAAGATACTCATCTCTAAGCTTCATCACCCTCGCGAGAGAAGACCTCCATCGGCAAACACGGGTAGAGTCCTGCCGTCTCGGCATAAGTGAAACGAGCCGATCCGGCATCAGAACGGAGTCGCATTCACATTTCTAACTTCATAGTTGGCATCCATTACCCTGGCATTAAATCAATAGTAACTGTTTCACGTCATGTGCTGACTGCTATCAAGTCTCTAATCTGGATATCGCATCCGGCGGGATCGCCATCCTCCTCACACGTCTCCAACTTCTGCAGGGCATCCACGGCAAACTCTCAAAAGAAAAAAATAAAGAAAAAAAAGGATCCTACAGGTAAACAATGGCATATCAAGGCTATGGCCTATGGTCATGTGATTTGAGCATTATTCGATCAGTCCCAAGGCATCTCTCAGACTCTAAGGAACACAACACTCACAAAATGTCTTCAAGACGGGCACAGGACAGCTGTGGCTGATCAAAGCACAAATTCTTCTCGCAACAACTCGGTCCTCCTCTGCATTCACCTCTTATATTCGACCCAACATCGGCACAGTGCTGGCTAATCAAAGATCCCTTAACCTTATATAACCCCCCCCGTCAACGCTCGCGACACATAAGGGGGGCCTCATGAAACACCTTCCTCACGCTCCACATTAGAACACATTGAAGGCTTCTCAATTCTCTAATTTCCCCTCCTCGACTCCCCTCCTCGACTCCCCTCCTCGACTCCTATCCTCGTGTCTTAGTCCCGCCCACAGGAGATGCAAAAGTTGTATTTACAAGTATTAAAAGTAAGCAGAGGACACCAAACCAACTGAGACCTGTCTGTCCGCCGCATCTACGCACAACCCTGTCTCCTAAAAATTACGTTCCCACAGAACTAAACTGCATTCTCAATTACGTTTAGCAAGAAACGTATTTTCTCCCACGTTACGTTTGTTATGAACGTATCTCAAAAACGATAGTTACGTATGTAACTACGGTTCTATGAATACTGGATGACCGCCAGAGGCGGTGCTTTAGCACTGGATATCTTCTGTCTCGCGCATGCGTAGGTCGAATATTTATATCAACAAAGTCACGTGTGACCTCGTATGACCCCGGAAGGCATAAGTTCCGGTGTTGTCAACGAGTTCAGTTCTATGGAATCTTCTCGCGGAAACATGAGATTCCGAGTGACCAAGAAACTCTGGCGGTCATCCAGTATTCATAGAACCGTAGTTACATACGTAACTATCATTCTATTTCATCCTTACTGACCGCCAGAGGCGGTGCTTTAGCACTGGATGACCTATACCAACAGAGTCACGAGGAAGTCTGAATACTCCCCCTATAAGGATGGCCTAGGCTGACTCTGCAGGAGGACCACACCCAGCGGGTGAGGGGCGGCAACATTCACCCTGTAGTATCTGGTGAATATGCTCGGGGATGCCCATGTGGCCGTAGCACATATGTCCTTGCACCTTAGGGAGGAACGCTGTGTTCGGCCATAAGGTGACACCTGAGCCATCTGAGTTCCACCTCAGACACGAGCTGTTCACGGACAAGGCCTGAAGCTCGCTTACACGCTTTGCTGAGGTGATGGCAAGAAGGAAAGCAGTCTTAGCTGAGAGCCACTTCAGTTCTGCCTGTAACAAAGGAGGCGAGCATAGGGCATCCAGCACCAAGGGCAGGTCCCATGTAGGGGCCCTTGGGATATTCGGGGGGCGAAGCCTCAGAGCTCCCCCTTAAAAAGGGCTGTTGTCAGCCCTTGCGTGTTGAGCTGATATAGCAGCCACATACACCCTGACGGTAGCGGGACACCGGCCGTCGTCCAGGAGGGACTGCAGGAACTCAAGGGTCGTAGGCACCGAGCAATATACTGGGTCCTCATTTTGCCCTTGGCACCAGTCAAAAAAACAGTTTCCACCTGTTTTCGTACTGCCTACGAGTAGATGGTGCCCTAGCATTTGGGAATAGTCTTCCTGACAGACTCTATGCAGTCGCTCAGCAGTGGGTCGGGCCCTCCAGTGGCCAGACCCACAGCTGGAGGCGGCAGGGGTCGGGGTGCCACATCCGACCCTCCAACTGAGACAAGAGGTCCTTCCTGTTGGGGAGACGCCAAGGCGTCCCACAGCAGAGTCTGTGCAGCAGATGGACAGGCCCGCACCTAGCTGGGTTAAACTAGGAAGTTTAACGGGACAGCCTAGCCAGGCGGCTCCTGCTAGAATCAAGCAACACGCCTACCAGGAGCGGGTGCAAGAACACAGCCTCCACTAGCTACCTGCTGAACGGAAAGAGTAGAGCAATGCTCCTACTCGCCGAACACAGAGAGGGATGTAGATGTCCTACACCCACGTTACCAGCAGAGAGAGCGGGAGTGAGAGCACTGCCTTCACCTAGGTGGATTAGATAAGGACATTTAACAGGACAGTTTAGCCAGGCAGCTGCTGCTAGAATGAAGCAGCGCGTCTACCAGGAGCAGGGGCGAGAACACCGCCCTCACTGGTTGAGTTAATAACGAATGCCAGATGCAGCGTAGGCGGGAGCGGGGTGCGAGAACACAGCCTTCACCAGCTACCTGCTGAACGGAAAGAGTAGAGCAACGCTCCTACTCGCCAAACACAAAAGGGATGTAACTACACCCATGTTACCAGCAGAGGGAGCGGGAGCGAGAGCACTGCCTTCACCTAGCTGGAAAAAAAGTGTTTAGCAGGACAGCCTGTCCAGTCGGCTGCTGCTAGAATAAAGCATCACGTCTACCAGGAGTGGGGGCAAGAACACTGCTTTCGCTGGTTGAGTGACTGTGTCCAGAGCCACCCCAATGAAGGTTAGGCTCTGAGAGGGGTTCAGACAACTCTTCTCCATGTTCACCCTGAGGCCTAGCCGGGCGACATGAGAGAGAAAGAGAGCCATGTCCTGGATCGTCTGTAACCGGGATGGTGCACAGATTAACCAGTGGTCTAAGGAGAGGGAGAGTCCGAATGGGAGCACCCTGAACTGGAAATGACGGCCTCTGAAGGCAAAGCGAAGAAACTGCCTGTGATGAGGCACAATAGGCACATGAAAATAAGCGTCCTTCAAGTCGACGGACG